ATGAAAATAGAGAAAAGAAAAGGGGACAGAACGCCACCCTGCGGTACGCCGGCAGATGTGTCACACCACGCAGAGAAGGTGTCTTCAATGCGTATGCGCTGTCGACGCCCGTACAGGTAACTGCGAAACCAGTCAACCACCGTTGTAGATATGTTGTGAGAATGTAAGACAGAAAGAAGGATGTCGAAGTCTATTGTATTAAAAGCATTACTAAAGTCTAGTAACGTTAACACAGTCAAGTTTTGTTGTTCCATTCCTCGCCGAATATCATCAGAGATATTGACTAGAGCAGTAGTCGTGCTATGACCGGGGCGGAAACCAGATTGAAAGGGGTTCAACAAATTGTTCGTAGTTAGGAAAGAAGAGAGCTGTTGATGAACCAACCTTTCAAGGACCTTGGAGAGGAATGGTAGGATAGAGATGGGACAGTAATCAGAAGGAGAGCTCGGTTTAGGTTTTTTTGGAAGAGGAACAATTTGTGCCTCCTTCCAAGCGGTTGGAAACACACCAGAGGATAAGGAATTATTTAGGATTTTTGCGATGACTGGAGAAAGGATATCTAGGATAGGAACAATCATAGCACGGCTAATACAGTCACTTCCAACAGCATTCGACGAGATGGCATGCACATTCTTCACAACATCACAATCGGTGATTGAGTGAAAAACAAAAGAAGGAAAGGTAGGAGTTGCAAAGCAGAAAGATGATTCAGTGTGTTAAGTTTTATAGCGCTATCTATTGCAGCAGAAGAAGAGAAATGTGCATTAAGAGCGTTAATATCAATGTTGTGCGCAGGAAGATGAGTACGCGACTTGCCAACTCCTAGCTTATTTAGGAAACGCCAGACTTTAGCAGGATCTCCATTTTCGACTGACTTATGGATATGGCGACGTTGTAGATCCCTTATCTTAGTATTGCAGCGATTTCTTATCTCTCGAAATTTGTCACGATTTTTGTATGAAGAATCCAGTTTGTACCTTGTTTTCGCACGCGTCTTTTTCGCCATTTGTTCACGTATCTCATCATTAAGCCAAGGTGCAGGAAGATGTTTAATGCGCACTGGACGTAAAGGGGCGTGACGATCGTACAGATCAGTAAGGTTAGAGTTCAAAAGTGATAACTGGTCATCGACAGATTCAAGACGCTCTATCGCTGACCAATCAACACTGTTTGCCTCCTCACGCAGTTTTTCAGTATTCATACCCGCAAAATTACGTAGAAGCAAAGTTCTTGCTTTAATTTTGGGTGGCCGAATGCGATACGAGAGATACAGTAGGTCATGATAGGAAAACTCGTCAGCAGGAAATTGACCGTGTTTCACTACGTGGTCACGAGAAGACACTACTATAAGGTCAAGAAGTGATGGTTCACAGTTGGGAAAATGATGAGTAGCAGATAACGGGGGTATGTACAGGTTACAAGAGTTAACTAAGGAGAGAAGCTGCTTAGATCGGTGATTATTTTTCAAAAGACATGTATTGAAATCTCCTAAGATTATAGAGTGGTTGTAAGAAGGACAGTAATCTTCAAGAAGTAGTTCAAGGGAACCAAAGTAATTATTAGAGAGATGATTGTTGTAATAAACACCTAGAAGAACTTTAATATGGCAAAGAGAAATTTCTAGGAAGAGGTGTTTAGTCGTACCCTCTGGGGGCGGCTGTGGGGACTTATGAATGACTGTAAAAGGAATATGTGCACGGAGGTAAATGGAACCGCCACGGTCGTTGCGGATAAGTACAAAACCAGGAATGGAAAAGGACGTTGACGGGAGCGATGGATTCAACCAGGTTTCGGATACCAGAATTGCATGGATATTCCTATGATCCAAGGATGCAAGCATATCCATGTAATGAGCTGGAATGCTCTGTGTGTTAATATGGATGACGTTAAAATTCTTCCGGACATCCGAAAAGACTGAATCCAGGTTTTCATATAAAGGAAGAAGTAGACTGTGAAAACTGTCATCTGAGCTGGAAGAAGAACATGAATTGAAAAAATCTGAATTATCTGATTGATTACATAAAGAGATATCCATAGCAATAATATAATATAAATAAACAAAATATATATAAGTATAGATTATTAATTAAATAAAATAAAAATAAAACTAAGGCTTGTGCATTTTCCATACCCGCTGGCAGCCACAAAGACAAAAATAAAAACTAGAACAAATTAATTGCGTACAAAGAAACGTAAATATACGACGAAAATAAAAGTACAAATTCTCATCACCAATTTGTCAGAAAGAGACAACGTATTACAAAACCGGTGTTGTCACGTGTCACGCACTGTTGATAGATCAACAAAGCAGTAAAAAAAACGCATTTTGACAACAGGAGAACAACTTTTAAAAAAAAGTACATATAAATATTTGTAATCTGTGGCACATATTAGCAGCGTTGCCAGAACGTAACTTTTGTTACGTTTTACGTAACTTTTCAACCCTAAGCGTAACCTTGGCGTAACCTAGCCACGGGCGTAACTTTTACGTAACATTTTGGGAAAAATATATTTTACGTAAAACAAAACGACAAAAGTCGTAAAACGGAACAAACGCTACTTTTGTTATAGATCTGTGCTTCTGTTTCTTTGTAGAAAGTAACTTGCATTCAATTTTCTATTTTAGATTTACAGTTTTCGTTATCATGGACCGAAACATCGGCTGCAACTGCAAGTGAAAGATTCACTTAAACAACAATGAAAAAATTAATGAAAACCATTGTATCTATATGTCGAAGTCAATATGTAAGATTCTGGCGTCTACATAATCACGCGTCCGTATACAGACGAAAAGCAGTATACAAATTGACGACGGCACGATATCCGGCAATATGACGGTGAAATAAACGTTGCTTAAACGTCCACGTGGTGAGTATGTTAGGGTGACCATGATTAAGATATCTTTGACAATCACATTTAAACTATTTTGATAGATATGTATAATCAATCACAGCACGCTTTATAAATTTAAGTTTACTTATGTATTTTACATTTAAGTTTACTTTCATCTTAAATCACCCTATGCATTTCTAAACCACATCAAAATCCATTGCGTCGTTTAGGAGGAGTTAGCGAATTCCATGACAGACAGCCAGACAGAGAAACGCAAAAAGCGACTTCATTTTAACTACGTATTGATGATGCACGTTCGTCAATCATACCTTCGCAAAAGTCTGACGACTGCACTGAGACAGTGTTCAACGACGCTTCTCTCTCGTTTTTAGACAACCAGTCAATCATAAACTTGCTAGGATTTTTTATTACATTAGTGCCAAGGAACAAAGTCCTTCCAAAAGTACTGCTGTCATAAAGCCGTAAGCATAAAGACGGTCGGAAGTCTTCATTCATTGGAATTTCTATTATCTGACTCATTCTGCCATTGGGAAAATTACTGTTTGGTTTTCTTTCCAGGATAATCTCAGATTTCAAGACAAGATCGTCAATTTCCAATACAACCAATGGTTTTCTGGCTACGTTAATGTCTCTTAGACCCCACCAATATACGTCGACTCTGAAACAAATTGAAACCCAGCTCAGAAAAATTGTATACGGGAATATCACCATTTCTTTAAAATTTTTAAAATAGGCTACACTACACCGATATTTATCAAAATCGTTGTCGTGGGTGGGTGTCGAATCTTATCGATATAATAAACATGCAAAAAAGAAAGGATGATCTAAGTATATTACAAATGAATCAGCCTTACTTGTACGTCACAGAGTGAGGGATGAGGCTGAGGGGTAACCGTTCAATTAATTCTTCATCATTCTCCATATCTTCATTCTCAAACACGTTAGGCATTTGAACATATAAGGTGGATGCACAGCTTCCGTAACTTGTTGACCTCACCAGCTGTTCAGGTACCTAAAACATTGAAAGACCCTTAGCAAAAAAAGTATAAAACTCATAATATAAAATACAGGTCAAAACGAGATAGTGTCATTGAAAGTTTTAACTTTTCTAAGACAACAGATCATTTCTGGATAAGGCGTGGCTCTGACGTGGACACTATCGATATTTATGTTGTTTCCTGAGTTTTTAATATTGTTTCATTCCTGTTTCTATTTTAGGCAATATAAAAATAAAATTGATGTGGTTTCCGACTCTATGGTATAGTACTAATATATCCTCAAAATAAGTCTTTAGGATTTCATTTACCTGTATAAACTGTACTGACATCAACAATTGACCCATATTTTGTGCTCCTTTATAAATCTCATACCACTGCAGCTTTGGAACATATTTTGGATCTTCGTCGTAAACTGGCTGAATTTGGAAACGTCCAACCAGATCGATTCTACCCTGGAAGAACAACACACATTGAAGATATTGTAGTAGCATGCTTTTTTATAGGTATGGACATAAGAAACTTACCTAGGTAAGTTAGCTGATGGCTATTTTATACACCCTGTATTTGCAGGAAGGACCCATCCAATCGAATTTTGTAAATAAAGACATATACTTGCATTTTAATCTCATGTTTAGGATTTTTTTGCCGATCCCGGAAAATTACCCGCTTCAAAGTATAAAGTTGCTGTCAGATTGGTGCCAGCATCTACCTACACACAGTAGAAAATTACGGCTATTTTTTTTTTCTATTTTTTAATTCACTCTTACCGAAGGATGCTCGTCGTATACTTCCACGAGAACGAAAGGAGGACATAGGAGCATTCTTTTGACACTCGCAAATATTAACTTTTTTATGGTCAGAACTTGATTCCAGACAGGTGTTGAAGTCCTTACCATGACCTGAAAGCAACACATTAGGTTTTATGGAATAACTCTTTACTTTAAAAATTTGGAAGTCTAATAGTAACTCAAATCAGCTGATCAGCAATGTTTTAAGTAGGCCCAATATATTTCTATTTCGTGAGTTGTCGTAAGGATGGGGATTGATAAATTTTTCATTGTAATTAATAGGTAACTACAACTAGATGTCGCTTTATCGTCGCTTCGAGACGAGCATCAAGAGGTTGACAAATGCATCAGGGTCCGCCGGGCTCCCGAAGCTCAGTTGGCAGAGCTGTGGGTCGGTACCCCACATCCCGGGTTCAAGTCCCGGCGGTCGCATATGAACTTTTAAATTTTCTCATTCGCTACTCTTTATCAAGTTTATCACAATTTAAATGAAGAAGCTGGATTTCTTTTTTTTTCTATTATTTGAACTAACTATGTTATTGAAATAAATAATTAGTTTATCTACTCACCTGCGTATCCTTAACATGACTTAGTGCATTCACCCTGACAAATGCATTGCATGGATTGTTCAGCGTCTCACTTCCTTCGCTGTTCAGTTTTGCGCGATAGATGTAAGCTCTACACGCGATCACCTAAAATTTTTCGAGTGATTAAGATATAGGAAAAATTACCTCTTTTCGACTTGTTATACCCATTCTGTTACTGCCTGTATATTCCAGTCAGTGAATGCTTTAAATACTTTATAGAAAGCATGGGTCGTTATAGATACTGATGAGGCAATTTGGAAGCATAAACAATTTGCTACAAGTTTCAGGAAAATAAGAAAGATCTGTATTTCTTTAATCGTTCTTGAGTTATGCTTCTTAATAGAGGACAACGCACTGTTAGGTGTTTAAAAAAACTCTGCTGGCCATTCCCTGTATTCATCCCTTAGTCGCCTTTTACCACAACAACTGTGGGTAGAAATATATAAGGTAGAAATAGAGTGATCCTATTCTAAACCAGTACCGCACAGCAAACCACAAATTTTCTTTTGGTCTTTCATACCATTGTAGATGCCTTGATGTGCATATCTAAGTCCATGTTCTTCAAATGGTAATTAGGGGGCATGAAATTGCAAAAGTCACGACGCTGCCTGAACAGACCCATCCACAGCAGTACCTCCACTTTACCAGTTATACAGTAGCAGGTCTCCGGAGAATTTGAATGTCTTTCGCACTTTAGAGGCTGGAAAATGAAATATGATATGACGCCATAGAAATCACATCAGCAGGTGGTAATAGACAGGAAGCTCAATATCGAGACATGTTGCAAGAAAGAAGGGGGGCCTATGGTCTGCAGTGGGATGTTGCTTGAGAACAGTATTACTGAATATCCTTTATGTCCATTTTCTTAGTAGAATATAGGTATCCGTTACCTTCATATAAATTGTCTGTATTCGACCACATTCACTGCCGCGTTGCTCAGGTATGACAGAATATAATATATCAGCTAGTCTAAGCTTCGCGTATGCCACTCTCGAGCCTTCGTTCAGAAGCCAAATTATCAGATCTGGCCAACCATATGGACTCTGTAATACAAATATTATCTAAATAAAAAATGTTTAGGGCCGCTGACCCAAAACTTTATTAAGGCGATCGATCTTGTACCTAAATACAAAATAATGCCACAATTAATTTCGCTTGTACCTGTTACGAAAGAAGCAGGTATACAAAAAGCAGGCCTGTTCTGGATTTGTAGTTGACGAAGATGATGGTGACCCAAAGGTCTAATGAGCAGCGGAAGCTCGTAACCACAGCCGTAACTTCAGATACTTTGATACAGAAACAACATCACCATCACCTTATGAAGTGTGCTACGAAGATGCTCAGCGTGAACTTTGATTTCAGCCAGCAACATCTTGACTGCCCTCCTTGTTCCCATTAGGCTTTCCTTCGTGCCATATCTACTTGGCATTTGGCATAAACTTGCAACAGAGCCCTGCATCGTTTTTTGCGTTAGCTGGTTGTATATCTTTTCCTGTAATGATATAAGATGCAAGACACAACATGCAAACAGCTCTTCTATTGAGCGCCTTGTCATATAAGTTAAAGGAACATGAAGCTAAGCTAAACTCCTAAATCCCATACCTACTTATGACCAATATACCTACCTATGGTAGACGAAATATCAGTAGTAACAAAGAATAACCAATATAGCTTAGTAATAGGCAGCTCACTTACCTATGTGTGGAAAATAACCACCAGGGATGAAAGGCGACAACTGGTGCAGCTTGCAACCAATAACGGCCACGACCATTCTGCTAAAAGATCATCGACACTGAAGACAAAAAAGTACTTCTTACTATTTCTTCTGTCTGCACAGCCAGTTGCCGACGATCCAGTGCAGTGCTGTACTGCTGCAGACATTCTTGACTTCCATTGGGATCGTTGTAGCAGCAGACGATGTCCAGATATTTACGGATATTCTCGGTAGCATCGTCGACAGCTTTACTAAGCTTGTCAAATAACTCTATAGGGGCAGTGTATTCATAGTTTTGGAGTCGCTTTTCCACGTCACAAATTGAAAATTCCTGCAATTTGATATTTTTATTGAGGCATCTAAAGAGGTAGAGGTACTCCTCAAAATTGGACGGTTTTTCTGTAGGTATTAGGCGTACAGCAGATACACTTAATTTCTGAAATCCTGAAACTCATGTGATGTTGTTTTTGATTGCCATTTAGATATTCTTAGACATCCTGCGTTGTAATAATATTTTATACTCTTACCAAGTCCGAAATGATGCCTTGAACAATATTGTTCCTGTATATGCGAAACCGGAAGTCTGGGAGTCGTGTAGCAAGTTGCAGTACCGGGTAGTCACGGCGGAACTCGATAAACCCGTACCTCTTCATCTTAATCACTTCTAAGCATCCGGTGTAGTGCGTCTTATGATACTCTAGATGTAATTAAATATATTCAAATTTACCAGGGTTCACTGGGTTGTTTATTTATTCAGTTAGGTATTTTGACAGAAGATATAACATTGAATCATTACTATGTATAATGAAAATTACCAGTTTGATTGCCAAACGCCGTTTAGTGCAATTTATGAGTAGGTTATGATATGACCATCTCTTACTAATAGGTGCCTTTAAAAGGCACTAGCGTAGTATGGAAAGGGCAATTGAGTACGCCTTGCACGGCACGGCGTCAGCCAAACCACCCGTCAAGCTTTGCAAGTATGGCGAGTATAGCAAATAACCTTTGACTGAGGCCCATTTCCAGCTGTAGACTATTGATGTTGATGATGAAACAAGATATATTATGTAACAACTTACTCATGTCAGATGCAAGTGCAAGAAATTCTGAAAACATTAACAGATATTTTGACTGACTCAGGATTAACTAGATAAAGATAAAAGATAAACAATCTACTACCCGCAAAGATGAAGAACTTTTATTACAAGTTTTTCTTCGAAAAAAAAATATGGATGTCCTATACTTAAACATGTTGAAAAAGTACGACACTTAGTATGGGAAGTGTTTTTTGCTATGCTGGCAATAGTATGTGCCAGGTCCTAATGTTCATCATAGTACTCATACAATTTTACCTTCATCCACTGGTCTTCCACTAGGGATCTCTCCGACGGTCATCGCAAGACCCGTGAACTTCTGGATCGCTTGGTTGTCCAACATTGACATTTCGAAAATAGGACAATACAAGCAGAACTCTTCTTGAACCCATAAATTATCCTGAAATTATGTAGAGGCACTAGGTATGTAGGTAGATTTATTTATTAAATTCACTTAAAGTAAAAAGTCACGTCATTCAAACGAAAAGCAATTTGAAAAATGTTGGAGTGGTGGTTGCGAAATGTTAAATACGTCGCAAAACATTTTGCACCAGCAGCTCCATCCATCTATTGTTGTAAAGTGGTGAATTCGTTTTTGAATCTTATAGATTTTTTTATGCGAAAATGTTATTTACACACGAGACTGTCAATCAATTTTTTTCTCCTTTACTTGGGAATCTTTTGTATGGGAAAAGCTAAAAGGGGAAGTCCCACATCCGAGGTCCCATCCCACCTTCAGTTTGTTTGCTATTTAAAATGATTTTGGAATAAAGAGTTCTTAAGTTTTTTATGGTGGTCTTCGGTCTTCTTTTAAGCTACTTTGAAAGCTAGAGTTCATAAGTCTGACTTGAGTCTGACACTGACGTAATACCTACTTCAAAACTCCAGAAGAAAATAATAGTAAACAATTACGATATAAATAATAATTTTATGAATGATACCCAATGGTGAAAGAAAATAAATCAGATTATGAACTGTATGAGACACCCTCAACGAGTAGAAGCCGCCAGGCAAGTGGGCATTTACTACGTAGAAGGAGATCAAGTCAACCCAAATCAGAAACTTCGAAGGAAATATTACCGCCGCCCGAGGATGATGAGGATGATACGGAGAGACCACGCCATGACCACGTAGACCCATCCGTTGTCTCCAACCCCGCAACCGTGCTAAAAATTGACCCAGAACACAACGAAATTCCACCAGAAAAATGTTTTACGCGATGCAAGAGATTTTTATACGACAAAGAAAACAAGAAAATTATGGGTCGAACCTGCAAAAGCTGGGGTTTGATTTCGTTGTATTCCATCATGTACTTAATCGCCATCATTACTTTTACCCTGATGTTGGTTTTGATCACTTTACTGATAATAAAAAAGAACAACTCGAAAGCTTTGTCTAACGAACACATTATTTTACAACTGAAATATTCTCCTGATAGCGTTGAAATAACTGGCACTCCGCTAGCAGAACATAGTTTTCCGCTAATATGGTATCGGTCCGGAGTGGACGGTGAATATACTAAATATGTCTCTGCGTTAGATGAGATGCTTCATAATCATAATCATAATAATCGTCCTAAGAGACAAGTGCGGTCCAGTCTGGGACCTTGTGGACAGAGGCCATATGGCTATGGTGACAAACCGTGCGTTCTTGTTAAAATTGACCAACAGAAAAACTGGGTGGGAAAACCGTTGAAACCTGATTCACCTAGAGCCAAGAACGCACCAACGGAAGTACAGAAATGGATAGAAGGAGATTCTACAAAGTACTGGTTGCACTGTGCTGGTAATCATAATTACGACCGAGAGCATTTAGGGAAAATTGTGTACTATCCCGATCCTCCTGGATTTGACTCGTCATTGTTTCCCATGGATGAGAACAGCACATCTCAAGTGATAGCTGTTCAAGTCGCTAACTTTACCTCGGGAATTTCCTTAACAGTTGAGTGTAAACTGTGGTTTGAAGATGGTTTTACAAGTTTCGTGTTTATGCTTCTTGTTTTACCTTAGATTTCTTAGAATAATGTAGTTTTTCGGA